TAAATACCCGTCAACTCGAATCGAGAAACCTTTTGAGAATTAACCGTGAAGATCCTAATATGGATTTGATATGCCTGATTAACTGTTTTTCCGAGTTAGTCTACCACAATTCCATTTCTTTCCTCATGGCACAATCGTGTCGCTAATGATAATCAGCATTGCTTAGCTTAAAAGTACAAAAAGTATCTTAACCTTAAATATCTTAACCTTAAGTATCTTAACGAAGAGGTTTACGTCGCTGGCGTGTTCCATTGTACTTTTGGAGCGAAAATCATTACAAACTGTTCTACCGTCTTCAAAAATTGTAAAACTATAATTTGATTTAGACTTGTGCGAGAGATTTTTGTGTTAAACATTACATTTTTTTAAAACCTATGATCGATAATCAATATATGAACCTATGCTCCTTATTTCTCAAGAATTCTCTATCACAATGATTCAGAAATCTATGAAAGAAAAAAAAAAACTGTCAGTTTTGAAAATCTCATCACTGTTGATTTATGGACGTTAATTTGTCACTGTCATTAATTTTCTCACATCTATTTGACGTCTAGGTCCATTGTTGCGGTTGTGGTTTTCATCATCAGATTTATGAGGTGTGTCTCATATTCCTTATTTGAATTCCTTAGTTATAATGATTAAATAATCTGAATCTTTACTTGAAAAATGACATTTTGACTTTTGCAGATCTTTACTATTATTCATTTGATTATTATTCTTTTGTTTGGTTTATACTTTTGGAATACCATTATTGTTTTATCCAGGCAAAGTTTGACACGGCCATTAATTTTCTTTCATTTGTTTGACGTCCAATGACTTCTAGGTCACTTGTGGTTTTCGTCATCAGTCTCGTATGAGTCATTGTGGTGCACCTTTCTTCGAACAAGTTTGATTGATTTCTGACGTCATCGGTCAAAAGGTCACTATGTTTTTTTTTGTTCGTGTTCTTTATCAACATTACGAAACCCCTTTTCGGCCGTCAATAGCATTGATAATGATACCATTTTTTAACAATAAATTTACATCACTGACATTCGAAAACATATTCATTAGACGAAAAGATAAATAGTGATTCAGCATCTCTAAGTCTTCTTCTTCCCCGGGTCTAGCTATATCAGTTGCTGCTCTTTTAAATCTAAAGTTTTGTGTTAAGCAACAAAAAAGTGTAATAATGACTAGCAGGCATTCTCCTATATTTTCTTTGGTAATAACGTACATCAAATAACTATATATCTTTGTTTACGCAGCAATTTTTCGCCAAAATTAAAATATTAATCCCTATGGCCTTAACTAATTTCCGTTTTTTCCGTTTCGGTAGAAAAATCTGCTTCGAAGTGTGTGATTACTTTTATGGAGATATACCAGGGTAGCTAAGTTCTCAAACTTTTGCTCCGACTTTTCTCTTATTTCATCTTTCGTTTCTCCTATTCAGCAGCACTTCATGGACCATGTCACTCTATCAAACTTTCACATTTATCTTTTACGCCTCTCTGTACTGCGTTTGTTGCATCAGCTCATCACATCTTGAGTGTTTGGTGTGATGCAGAAGTAGGACAGTCGATAACAAATAAAAGTAAATTAATCGATCGCAGTTCAGCAGTTATCTGTCCATCAAAACCAGGGGGAAATGAGAGAGAGGGAGAGAGAGAGAGGGGGGGGGGGGGGGGGGGGGGAAGGGGGAGAGAGAGAGAGAGAGAGATAGAGAGGGGAGAGAAAGGGGGGGGGGAAAGATACATCATTGTGGATAGAGAGAGAGAAAGAGGAACTGATGAAAAAGAGGGATAGAGATCAGATAAAGAAAGAGAGGTGAGTTAGGAGGTACAATTAGAGAGAGAGAGGGGGGGGGGGAGACAGTGGAGTCACAGAGAGAGAGAGAGAGAGAGACTGACAGACACAGAGAGGGGAGTGACAGAGTGGGGGGGGGGAGGCCTAAAATAAACAGAAGGACATAGGTGAAAGAAATAGATAGGGAGAGACGAGGAGAAGGTAATGATATTGAGATTAAAATGGGATAAGAGATCGAGAGGAGAGGAGGGAGGGAGAATAATATCCAAATGGAGAGGATGGAGATGATGGAAAACATGAGGGAGAAGCGAAGTGATATATCGAAATATAGATAGATAGATAGAGAGAGAGAGAGAGAGAGAGAGAGAGTGAGTAAGCGAACATGGAGAGGAGACATAACGAGAGGAGTAAACATGATTTCGTCCTTCGTCTTTTGTATTGAGCGGATTGACACCTTTATTTGAGACAAATATCTCAAACAATGTACACACCTGCACACTACCCACTCAAACATTATTTTGGCGTGCAACTGCAGGCTTAAATAATGAACCTTTTTACAACTTTTCAACAACTCGGGCTAAAATATGATACCTAGGTGTAAACATTGCCTGTTAAACAATTCCATATGATCATTAAACAGACGACAATATACGACATATCCTTTCTTACAGTCAAAAATTAGATGCACTTTCGATAAAAGTAATTTACCTTCATATAAACGAAATAACAGGTCTGAACATAGCAGACTAAAACGTGCAAAAGTTAGACGTGCGCGTGATCATGCGATGTGGATGTAAAGTTTTCGTGCGCCAAACGTGAGACAGGAATCGTATTGCAATGGCGTGAAAACTTTATTGACCAATCACGTGGCTCCATTACATTTGCAGTGTGCGTGCGGGTGACGTGCAGAGTTTAAGTGGAAATTTTACCTTTGGTATACATGATGAGTGTAAAGATATGAAATCGGGGATCAAAATACCATGTTTTATGGTAAGTTGCACATAAACTGACTTATGAAGGCATATTTAAAAGATTACAGAGTGTATGTTGTATCACCTATCGGGACTAATTTAACGAAAGCTGTTACCGGTATTTCTCCGAAGCCTCCTCATGTGCAGTAATGATGAAAACAAGTGAGACTATCAAAGCCCATGAATTTGGAAGTGGTTGATATTTTGTTCATGAATCTAAAACTGCTTAAAAATCTGTTAAAGTAAATATATAACAGTTTGATTATTACTATGAGTGGTAAAAGAAATTTCACCTCTTTTGTATTCATTTAATTTTTGAAGGCACTCCTACATAAATGCGGGAAAATGCGGAAGTAACATTCAAATTTAGCCCTTATTAAAGAAATATTTAACCCATTTTCAATCAAAGTCCCAAACACTGCAAATTTGGATAGATGCGTGTTAGCCCCTAAACGTATTTAATAGAACATTCATATATTGATGATATATATATTTAACATTTTGAAATATTTATTAGAAAGAAAAGTAGAAAGTACCAGACTAAGAGGGGAAATAAGAACTACTAAGTAACTGGGAGTGGAACATTAAGAGATGGAGTAGCATTAAGAGTGTACTAGGTTGGCAGAAAACAAAGATGTGTGGACAAATTTTGGAATCAACATCCGAGCCGGGAAGAAGAAACGTTGATATATAGATACATATAATAATAAACATTCTACCTGATGGGAAAATAGTGATTGACGATTCATTGTTCGTTTGATTAAATTTCTGATGGCCGCTATGACCTGCCCGACAGCCCATGACATGAGAATGCATTACATAATACGGTGAGGTTATCTGGTACAGCGCCCTTTTGACCATGCGATTGACATACGCTATTATACTCCATCGATCTTTCGCTGAAAATTAATCAATTGCAAGACAACGGTCTTGCAGTTAATGTCTTTTCTTTTCTTAGCGGTATTTGCTCAAAGGCATAATGTGAAGATAAATAAATGAGGTATCAGATTACAAGGAGTTGTATCAGGTCCATAAGTCCGTATCCAGACATGTTCTGTCTATGTTCTTTGTCTCTTTAAACATGCGGTCTCATTCTGAGGACGGCAACATGTAGTTTCTTAGCTCACCACGTGGATTTTAAGACGGCAATGAACACGTTGGAGAATGAAAAAAATGTTAATAAATGGACTTATATCTATAAAATAGTTTATTGTTTTGCATAGATTACATCAATTCCGATGCACAGTGTGTATAGCAGACTTCATACGATAGGCGACCACACCCATTTGGAGGAAAAGCGCCACGGTCAGCGAGGCGCCATTTTTTGCTGTTAGGCGCCATTTTAAGTTACACTAAGCGTTAAGTTATATTCAACATTGTTCGTAAGAGCATAACAGGGACGGAGGAGCGGTGTAGACTATTTTGTTCTCCTTCAGAGAATGTTAGAATCGATTTCTTTCTAGAATAAACTATTAATTAACTGATTATCAAGAGGAAAACCAGTTTAACTTGATCATATTATGCATTTTAATCGATTGATAGTGTTTTTTTCCATATGTTTGTTGTATCAAAATGTAGCCGTCACAATAGAAATGCAAACAAAGCTACGACAAATTAATCTCTTCGATAAACTTTCTTCATATCCATAAAGCATTATCAAACAACGGAATATGTATTGGCTTGCAATTATTTGTTGGTTGACGTCATTTCAATAAGTATACAAATCACATATCTCATTTCAAACCGAATACAATATGCGCTATCATGGACACGATAAGCTGTTTGTTTTGATACCCAAGTTTTGTTTGATTGTTTTATCTTTACATTTATTTTTCTTGTATATCAGTGTTTAACATTTCATCAAAGTACGTGCAAGTATTGCTTAATCATTAATTTTCTTTGTCAATGAATACAACAATGAAACAATAAAAGCTTCATTTAATTTTGATAGCACTACTTTTGTTTCGCTTTGAAAGGTAAGCCAAATTAAAAAAATTGCTGAATATTGAACGATATACCAAAATAAGATTAGCATTTTCCCCATCTGACGAATACCATAATTCAGATATGTTTAATTCAAGAGCTTATCGGTATGTTATAGTGAGGAAAGATATATGCTGATTTGCAACTCCAACTAGAGGCCCAAGCTTGAAGTTTAGGAAAAGATAGTTTCCACAAATAATTTTTTTTAACTTATTCAATAGCTATTGATTTGTTGATTTATTGTTCAGGTTAGAAATACTGTTTTTAAGCAAGTGTAAACTAGACAGTATCTCTCATTGAAGTACAACCGGATCGACCTACGGCTTTAGTTCCTATCTAAGGAAATGTGAATAGTGTGCCCCTGTTCAATAATGTGCATTCTTAGTTTTGAAGTTTAAAAAAACATTCGACGAACGAAAATGAGTGATTTGGGCTAGTTATTTTGAGGAAACTCTCGACAACTGAGGTCGTGGGTTCGACGCGTGGGCCTCGCGCCAGTCCTCGTTTACCTGTACCTCGGCTGGCGCGGATTGAGAAGGTTTTGGCACGGAAGCTTACCAGGGGTACGTGCTCGGTCCCGCTCCGCACCTTTATTGGGGTGTGCGCGCTGGTTGCGAGAGGTGCTCGCATTGTTTGAGGAACCCGTATGACGTGTGGGTATGTCGGGGTGCACCTGAAAGGATCAATACAGAGCTTACCTGTCCGCTGTCCTATTGTTTGCCTCACCCTCCTCAACAACAGAACTCTAGAGAGAGAGGGAGAGAGGGACACGCTTACAGTGGAGTTCTATGCAACGGAATTCATGTGAGACAACCGTGGGAACGAAGCTCACTCGCTCTTCTCACACTTATTGTTCCAAATACCTCAGCGCATCGCGCTAAGACTATAAAACTCGACGAGGTTAAAGTATTAACTTTTGAAAGAAGAAGCGAGTCGGGGCCTTTCGTTTTTACCTCGATCTTTTGATGTTATTATTTATCTCAAAGCATCACGCTCACAATGGACGAATGTGGTCTTTTCTTTTGAGTCTCGTGATGTTGACGATTTTTGGGGCAAGGTGAATCTTTCTGGGCTTCTCCTGATGGCCTCTTCATCGCTTCTAAAGAATAATACATCAGAGTAAAAGAATAAAAGAACAATACCTCGTCTGTCATTTTATTTTATTTTGAGTGCTTTGTAAAACGTCGGAAAAGCTTGACAATTAATTTATCATATACCATCGCTCGGAAGCGAGAAAAATATTTACGGCATCAACAATACTTTTGTGAATTCGCGTGAACAACAATGTGTTTGGCGGTCGCCGAGAAGTCTTGATCTTTTTCGAAGAGAAACACAACTTTTGGGATAATTCACTCTTCAACCTCCAATAAAATAAGAAAAAGAGAAAAGCGTTGTCATTTGCTAGGCAACACACTTTTTGGAATATCGGATGAATATCGGTAGCGATCGAAAAGAACGAGAAGATTGATCTACTTTTACAAACAAATTCGACCAGCTTTAGCTAATAGTTTTCGAACAAAGCCATACAGTCGTTTTTCGTTTGGAAAACACTTTTCGAAGTTCTATGACAAGAAAAGAGAACGACAATTGTATAATTTTACAATTTTGCAAGAGGATTCGAAAGTTAGTGGTGGAAAATTAGCTGGAAACGGGGGCTGCCTGGATCGTCAAGATTGGTCGTCTGCTTCGAGTGAGATTTAATCGGTTTTTAGGCGCGCGCCGCGGGTCGTCCCGAGATAAGTCGCCCACACCACTGGTAATGACACCTTCTACTGATGAGATGTCGTCGTCAGAGAAACCGAGTAGAAGCCATGAAGGACGAAAGGTAAGGTATCATCTCTCTCCCTCTCTCTCTCTCACCCACCCACTTTCTCTCTCTCTCTCTCTCTAAATCCATTTTGTCTCTCTTTCTATCAAGACTTATCTCGACTCACCCGGGCAATTCACACCTGTATTCACGTTATTTATAATCTATTTTCCTCCCTCTACACTTAAATAAGATTGTATATTTTAAAAACTCACTGTATAAAACACACACACACTCTCTCTCTCACCCACCCACCACTTTCTCTCTCCCTCTCTCTCTCTCTCTCTCTCTCTAATTCCTTTCCCTTCTCTTTCGATCTAAATGTATATCAATTCACCCGGGCAAGTCACACCCGTATTCACGTTATTGAAAATCTATTTTCCTTCCTCTACACTTAAATAAGATTGTATATCTAAAAAAAACTCACTGCATAAAATACACACACTCTCTCTCTCTCACCCACCCACCCACTTTTTTTTTTCTCTCTCTCTCTCTCAATTCATTTTCACCTTCTCTTTCTATCTAAATCTTTCTTCATCTTTGAACAAATCTTTTTCTTAAAAAAAAAGAAAACGTTTCTCTAGTTTATATATAACATTCTGGATTATATTTTACACCCATTCCCCAAATTTTCTCTTAAATGCACACCGTGTTTGTATACACACGTTTATATTTTGAGGAATTATAATAGGTATTTTGATTTATGTGAAATAATCCATTTTTGTTTCATTACCGTTGCAGATATTGATATTTATTTTAATTAACTGGGGGACATGATTCCTGAGTATATGTTATTTATTTTGATATTTTCCTCTTAAATGTTACACGTATTATACCCCCTCCCCCCCGTTTTCCACTCTCTCTGTCTCACTCCTCCCTCCCTCCCTCTTTCTCTATTTCTAATACCGCACTTTCACCTATCTCTTCCTTGATTTCTCATTGTTAATTACCAAGCCTTTTCCTTTATCTAGACTTAACATCAGGAAACTGTAACAAAAAAGCACAAGACGGAAATATGACTGAAGAATTCGTTTTCATTCTGTATAGCCTTCTGTTCCCTATAGGATTATTAATATACGAATTATCGTATGAAACCCGTATTTGTCGGTCTTAAAGAATTTAAAAAACTTGAATACCATTATCTATATGAAGGATAATCCCCCAATGCATAATCTCTCTGTAATATTACATTCACATTTCATAAGTTTATGTTCGACTTTACAATGTTGATGATGAATATCTGTTCTATTATCACATCTCAATCCCTTTTAGTCATATATCAACAGACTATATTCACTAAAAAGAAGTCGGTCACTTTTGTAATGAAAGTGTAAAGTAAGTAAGTCTTATTGATGGCATTCATTCAATTTTTGTAAAAGATAATTCGATAGTATCAAAAATCTTGTACTTCCTATTAAAATAATTTTTATGATAAAGATGTCCTCTTATCCCTGTCTAGCTTTCCTCTCATTTCTCTGTTAAAAATATATTCCTTCAATTCAGACAAATTTTTATATATTTTCTTTCGTCTCGTACACCAAATGAAGGATGGATGTTTTCTTGACCTTTTCCACATGTGCTTTATAGTTATGTCAAGTAATAGTATTCATGATATAAAATCTAAAGTTTTTTCCTTGGCATCACCTTTTCACTCCCGACATTGTGGAATAACATTTTTTGACATTTATGATCCGGATTTTTATTTCTTGGCCTACAAAATTTGACATAGTCGTAAATATACATCTTGAATATATCTTTTTTTAGTTTTTCTTTCATTGGAAACTGATCATTTTATGATCAACTATTAGGTCTTGCTATTTATTAAGTTTTTTTCTTTTTTTGACGGAAATCTATTCTATTTACGTCATCGTATTATATATAAGCACTTCAACCATTCCCTCCCGTTTAGAATCAAAATCGGGTATGATCGTCTCAATATTTATTCTTTCTATTCGTGTTTCGTAAATTTATACCCGGATATAACTGACCTTTCGATTTATATGAGAAATTCCAGAGTTCCAACACAATTCAATAGAGTCATTAGTGTGTTAGAAGGAGACAGGGTTTTCAATATTACTCTGAATGTTATTACATAGGAGGTTTAAGAGATTGTATCTCAAACTCTATCTTAAGAAACAAAAGAGAAGTAAAGAAAGGAAAGAGGGAGGAGACTCAGGAAATTAAAAGAAAAATCTGTGTTTTTAACTTGCTGTTGATTAAGAAAATGATGAGTAAGGATAAAGCTTTAATTTTACTACAATTTGTAGGCTTGCAGGTTCTTGTTTATATATATAGGCCAACTTGATAGCCAATATTCTTTTTACCATGTTCAAGACCCACATTCATAACTACGTGTTAGCATGATGCCCTATAGTACACCGATCTGGAATTCCTTTTTAAGGAAAATTCTGACACTGTCAATTGTTTTTTCATAAACAGACATAATTATATATACGGCAACATGTTTTACTTATACATCTGCGGTCCCAAGCCTTATGTTCGCCATAATACTTTATTTTAAAACTTGATATGCCCTTGACATTAGAAATGGCGCCTTTTTGAAGTCACCCAAAATTACCCTTTTCTAAATTCATTCGTAGTGATTTCCCTATCTGACTCATCAAGTTTATTATGCCATCACTAACAACAGGATTCAATGTTTGACATATAGAGAATGCACCAATTGTATGCTTCGAGATTGCGACAGAACATTATAACAATACGAATTGTTCTGTCGATGTGTTTCCGCGTTCTGATCACCACGTAATGCTTGTCTAAACTTGTTAGGACATGTCTTTTCAAATCTTTGGAATAATATCTCTCTGATATGATCTTCAGCTGTCTTTGTATTGACATTTGTGGCTTAAATGGTGATAACAAAAATATAGAGCACAAACTAAAAAATAATGAATGTTGTTTCCAGTGGCCTGATAATAATTATCTTTTGAAATTAAGGACTGTGATTGAATCAGCTGTAACTGTTGTTGGACCGGTAATGTTGCAAAATACAAGGCAAGCATGTAAGGTTTGGACATGAGTTTTGTTAACGTCCCAAGTTAAACTTTAACATTTGATAGTGAAGAAGATACAGGATAATTTATATTAAATGATTACATCAGACAGACTATTCTCTAATCCATTCTTTTCTTAATCTATTTTATAATTACGAGAGACTTTAATTTCTTGAATATCATTTTTTTTTAATACAAGAAGTTCTTTAGAACAAATACATGCGCATTACTCATTATGTTATTATATCTGAGTAATTATTTTATTCATTTTGACGCCTGAATCAACAAGCTAACATAAGCTTCCTACAGGTGCTCCCTTTTCCTTCTACTCATTTTCACAGTTTGTTTAAATTAATTTAACATAATGCTCATGATTTGTATATTTTAAACTGTCTGTACTTCATCACATGTATATATTTGTATGTTTTTTAACGGAAATAAAGTCTTTTGAATTGAATTGAATTGATTCGAGAATAGGCAACTGTGTAAAAATTGGCAATTTTAAAAGTAATGTTATGAAAATTGAAATGTATAATTAAAATTATTTACCATTCTCCTTTTTGTGTTTGGTGGTCCCTAATAAAGAAAATCTTTTTGAAATAAAAAAAAACAATGTTTGTAATTATATGAGGATAACATAGTGAACCAGCTTTAGGTTGATAAAGACGTGCAATTAAAAGAGTCTATTCTGCCTTATTTATCACTAAAGTGTCTTTCAATCAACAGTCTTTTGAATAATTGGTAACAGAAGAATTACTTTAGGATAACTCCGTAAGGCATGAGACTGGTATAAGGGCTTGGGGAGGGGGAAGCGGGGTATTATACTATAAACTGTACCGATCGAAGAAGAAGCCCAAAAGAGAATAGATAGGAAGACAAAAGGGCACACTACAGCACCCCTCTCTCAATGCTACCACCAGACTGGACCCTATGGGGGCACAATTGTAGCCCTATAAGGAACCGACTGTATTGTTTGGAATATTGCATGAAAGAATGAACACCAAGGGTAAGAAGGGGGACAACTTCGCACCCCTTGAAACTTAATGGGTCGGGATTCTATTTGGGGTCGGTTTGGCGAGGGGGACTATAACACCTCCTCAGGATTTCAGTAAAGCCGTCTAGCTTGATGCGTTTTGGGGGTGTGGATGTATAGAAGAAGGGGATGGGGGTAAACAAACATGGGATTACATAAGGATTGTTTCCCAATAGGCAGTATAATACGAAAATCTGTGCAATTATAAGAACAAATAGGCTGTCAGTAATGAAGTCGGGGAAGGTCATTTCAGAATAGTATGGCGTCCGCTTGTGGCTATTAAAGCTATTCTTTACGTTTTAAAAGTGTGCGTGTGTTTGTGTGTGTGTGAGATTGATAGAGAGAGAGAGAGAGAGAGAGGGAGAGATGGAGCCTGCGTATATGAGATATGTATATCTTTCCGTGCTACAAATGACATAAATCAGTTGATTCTTGAAAGCTTATTTTTCCTCTGAAATTGATCAGTCATGGCCCAGGTGTGTATAAAAATGAAAATTATTTTTTTTGTCATAAGGGATCTAATCGTGGCCTAAAAGTGGAAAATATTTTTCTTCACTCCATCTGTAATTATAGCATTTTCACTGTAATCGATATAAAATCATACACACACACACACACTGTAAAAAAATTAAAATTGCATTGCAATATTGCAAATTAAGAAGAGTATATTTTGTGTATTTTTGAGTATATTCTTCTATTTTCTTTTCTTTTATTGTCTAGTCTTCCAAACCTCTGATGGAGAAGAGGAGGAGGGCGAGGATCAATGATTGTTTGACAGAATTACAGACTATACTGGACGCCCTTAACCCAGAGGTAAGAAAAAAATAAGACTTCTTGCTTTTTTCCCCATTTTTTTTGCAAAAATCTTACCAAGATTGAAATGTATGAAAAATACTATTTTACGCCTTATCGATATGGTATTTACAGGGTATATTAATCCTCTTAATTGTTATGCATACCGCGGCCGTTCTGTTAAGAGTTCTGAAGAGTCGTCTGTAGCTATGCTATTCGAACCATAGACCTGATCATAATTATCAATATCATTGACTTATTATTAATCATTGTATGAATGTTAACTCGAATAGATAGAACGTCAGTTTATGGTTTATGAACATATCTATTACTTTAAAGTAAAGACTACGTGTATACAATACCCTGCATTGCAGATTACCCAATACACATATTTTGGATGTCAAATAAAGAATGTGATGTATTTGTGATAATTCTATATGATGGGTATTTTCTAAAGAAAGATTATCGAAATACATTGATGAGTGTTTACGATTACCAGCAGTAAGAAATGGATGCGTAGGGGGGGGGGGGGGGTCAAACCATTCATTATCTTCACGAGGTTCTTAAATACATTAACTGACAAAGTTCTATATGCTAAAATGAAAGCTATAAAGTTAATTTGATAATGATTTCCTCTATCTCAAGAATTACCAACCAATCTTGGAATTTACACAATTCAGCAGACCTCAAGATTGAGAAAAGATCGGGTCTTTGTATCGATTTTATTCATCTAAAGAAAGTGGGATGATATCCATTTTATAACAAAGATTTTCAACCACTTCATGTTGTGGCGAGAAAACAATACATTTTCAGGATTTATGGACCAAAGACCGAGTTAAAAGCATCTCCATGAGTGACTCAATTCAGCATGATGATGGTAATGGGCTCATTTAAATTATTATGGTTTTCATAGGTAATTGCACAAATTATTTCCAATAATCGGATAGTTACTATGCAGCGATCATGAAATTGCATATAATTAGGCGCAATTCCTTCAATTTAGGGATCAACTTTCTCCTTAATTTGAATTTCCCTTGGTATGCGTTCAATATGCACCAAATTGGTTGAAAAATAGCACTTCTCAATAAATCCTCGTTCCATTCATATACCAGGAGCTTCAAATCAACTAGAATGTTAAATTGTTGGAGAAAATTCAAGAGGGTTCGAAGATTCCTTGCTTCCAAAATAACCAATAGATTAACTATAATGGGGATCATAATTGCCCTGGTTTGGCAGGCGAGTTATATCGAATGACATTTGAATGACGTTCGTGAATGGGAGTTTATTAAGGGCCTTTTTGACTGGGTAGCTTGCAATGGGGGATGAAATTGAGTAATTCAGTATAAATTCGATTAGTTATACTGATCAATCAAATGCATAGTTTTGCAAACTGACTTCGACGTGATTTCACGATCCTATCCAACATGTCCAACAGAGGGCAGTTTATATTAGACATATCAAAAATATTCTTTTAAATAAGGAAAGATAAATCTGGAAGGCAACCTGGCAATTGTAAAGACGTGGTAGTAATGGGGTGGTTGGGAAAGGCACCACGAACTCTTTATTTGGTCCTTTTTTTAATATACACAAATATTCCTCATGCACGTTCTTTATTTTTGTTAGGGGGGGGGGGGGGTTGGTGTTATAATCGTCAAATTAAACTCAGAATTCAGATTGAAAATCCAGCACCGTAAATGTGTCTTTTTCTCATGGTATTTCGAGTATTTCAAGTGTTTGTTATACCACTGGTCTAGCATTGTTTACCCTCTCGCTTTTCGCTTCTAAATTGGCCAGATTTAAGGGGTAAAAGTTAAAGAAAGGGGGTGAAAAAGGGCAGGAGAACAAGACTTTCCGATTGAGGAGATTTGCTAAATGGAGCCCTTCAGTCAGCTGAAAAGACGGTCGCCAAACAATTATGTTTTTTTCTTTCTAGCTGGGGGTCGAAGCACCATTTAACGACCCTTTGAGATGGAATGAAGGGGTCTCTGACGTAAGAATGAGATAGTGGACGCCACCCTGTCTAAAAAAAACCTTTAAGGGCCATTTCATGCATGGCCAACCCGGCTTGAAGTTAAGGGCCTACGTAAGGGTCCGATAGTAATGGTGGTGGTGATTTATTTTGAAGTGGTGTTCACAAAGGCTTTATATTTGAAAAATGGTTATAAAATGAAGGAAGTTTACATAACATTATAAATGAAATGATGTATAATTATACGTGAAATGTACCGCTCATTTTGATAATGCTAAAATATATAGAATTGATTTGCTACCTATGGCATGTGGTTAACTAATAAACGGAAATAAACCATAGCAATTAAAGTGTTTTGATGATTGTGAAGGGAAGCAAAAAAAACGAGGGGCTAAAGTAGGATTTCTAAGACTCTATGTTGAAGGAAAAGATAAATTATTACTTTAATTATTGTACAATTTAGGCTAAATATTTCATAAACATTTTGCCAGCGGCTCCAAAAGTCTTTATCCGTCAATAGTATATACAGTATCTGTACAGCAGAGGATACTGAAAACTATACAAAATAAAGCAGGCAAATTCATGGTCTCAACAACAATTCTATTTCCCTTTAGAAATACCAAGACAATGTCACCAAGTCAGTCGTTTCCTTGTTGTATTCATTGGATAATTGTTTCCTTACACTTATCGTCCAATTAAAAAGGGAGAAAAGGGTAGAGGATGGAACCATCATGACTTAAGATTGGACGGAGGCATAAAGAAAGTAGAAAGAAGGCATTCTTATTAGTATTAATCAATACCTAAGAAAATATTCAACCTCTCACATTTCACTTTCTCTTTTTTTTTAACGAAACTCTCTGACACATCCAACTTTCTTTTTTGAACAACGAACAAACCCCCTGAAAATCAGAGCATACCTTTAATAGCCACGTGTCCTCCAACTTTCAAAATGGCGCCATTATTGAAAAGACGGTGAGGAGGGCCAGAATAGAGCCGAGATCGAGGGCCTCAAATATTAAAGGGGTGTACGACTTTTTTCCTCTTGTCCTGAAAGGCAAATTTTTCTCATCAATGGATCTCCAGTATTAAGGCCATTATTATATTCCTTACGTCGTACCCCCTCTATAAAATGTTTATCTCATTATTCATACATAAATGTTTTATTTGTATCTTATCTTAGATTTGTTAAAGTTTCCCCCCCCCCCCCCCAACCAAAAAAAAGAGGGGAAAATAAAATGCTATGGGTTTCTTAGATTAAGTTAAAGTGTTTATTTACCTGTTATGCTGGCGGTATAGGACTTATCTAATGATTTGTTTTTGTTTTATAAGGAGCGGACATTATATGTCATAATATCCCAAAAAGTGATGAATTAGTTATGATTCATTTTAGAGCTTTTTAAAGCCACATACCCTACAATATCGATTTAATCCGTACACAGTTTTAACATGTCTTTTTGTTAATCTCGATATTTCCCAGTTCCACAAGGCACTAAATTTCATTCAATTTGTAGTATATTGTTCATATTGGCATTCCATTTCGTTTTACGAGCATCATCTGGTCAATTTCTTCGAAGGGGCTACCAATACATCTCATTACTTCTATTGTCTGTGGTGTAAGGAATAGACTCGGTAGCTTTTAAGTGCATACTTATAAGTGCCCCGCAAACAAAACACTCGAGAAAAGAACACCGCCAGATGACCCAAGTGATGATTTTGGCGCTCATACCCAGAATATCGAGACGAATGTGAAGGGCCTGTTTTTCATTTGATTATCAGTACACCTAGAAATGATCTCAAGCATGTTATCCTGTTATGTCATGTCACTATGAACATGACGACAATGAAAGCGGACAAAATATACATTACCTCAGGTAGACAAAGGAACATCCCTTCACTGCTATTATGTAAACATGTGTAGAACAGGTGTCACATGCATATTCACCTGTTCTACACAATTGTACATAATTGCAGTGAAGGGATGTTCCTTTGTCTACCTGAGGAACTGTATATTTTGTCCGCTTTCATTGTCCGTGGTGTTCATAGTGTGTATAGGACCACCTCTAATATATCTAAAACCACAGTTTGTAGTAAGCTAATACATTATTACAATTGAAATCATTTTAAGGGTCACTGTTTCTGGGGGATGGATGCTTCACGAATATTTTCTTTAAATTCACTTTAAATTCACAAAATTTGATGAGGCTTTCTTGTTTTTATTTTAACATTTCCTTTTTATTTGAATCGTTTTACTAAGGAGGTGTTTGAGACGAGTTTCAATCAAATCTACTGCCATTTTTTTCGTTAAAATGAGAGGAATAATGAATTCGCTATTTACATCGTCATGATAATTGACTCTAGACTGAACTTAATTCCCGCTTATTTGTGTATTACAAATACAGAATGGTGAAAAAATTCATTTTTCCAATGTATCCGTTTAACCCACAGCTCTTGTGATCTACGATTTGTATAATTCCATGAAATTACAAAGGTTCTCCAAAGGCTATGATTATCGCTGCAACGATTAATGGCCAGTGCAAATAATAACAAGTAAAATGTTATCAGAATTAAAACTAGACTGAAAATGGGAGACACTGACGCCAGCGAAATCTTCATATCAGTATTGGCGACTTTGAGGAGATGAGATTTTGTTTGGTCAGGGACAATCATGTTGGTCCCACTGACTCCTGACCATGTCGGGTTTGATTACAAACATCAGATAGCATTGTGTGTGGGTTGTTTTACTCGTTAATAACAAACCAAATAAAACAAAGAGTCCTTAGAGCGCCGCAAAAAGTCATGGGAAAATTGTGTTTGGGGATGATTTGAGGATAAAGACTGATAAGATGTCATTAAAAAATTGATAAATGAGACAATCTTTAATTTAAAGTAGCCACTGAGATGAAAGGAGAACAAAAGTACCTGCATATCTCTTTGCATATACAACGAAGGCGAGTGACAATCATCCTCACACACACACACACACACACACACTCTCTCTCTCTCACCCACGACTGCACCACCCACATCTCTACATTTCAACTTGTGATCATGCACTGACGGTTGATAGATCGATGCTGTAGAGAGCAGTAACTATTATTATAAGTGGCCAGTTTGGATTTATCAACCAAAATGTAATCATTTTGATAGGCGATAAACGATATTTACTCTGTCCAATGCGATAACATAAGCTGCGTATCTACATGATACCTTGTGAACTCAATTTTATGCATTTTGGGTGTGGACATTTTTAAATATATAGCCTATATTACAAAAATTAAGTAAACATTTTTAAATGATGATATATCGAGAAAACCCCCATATGTACGGCGAATTTTCATATTTCATATCTCGTGTAATGTAATATGATAAACAATATTCACTGTTCTTTGTTCTTTTTAATATTTGTTGGAAATATTATACCAATGGATCCCGTCACCTTGATTTTTATAATTTCTACTTCCGTGAGAATATTAGTTTTAACGAGCAAAATCGGAAATAATTGATAAATAAAAAAAAAATTGGTTTAATTTCTTGAATGGGCATGTCAATGATAAATGACCCGTACAACAGCTCCGGTATTTTCTTTTGTTCCCCCAAAACCAAATGCGTGTCAATTAATGACCGAATAATATCTTTCCAGCCCTAATCAGGATCATCAAAACACTATTTATAGTACCCTTTTTTATTATCATTTTAGGAGACAAATATGACAATATGAATTCCAAACTTACCTAACACAACAGAAACAATTTAATTTTGATAGGCGAGTACAAAATTTGATTTGAAGCATAAGAAATTAATTAACAATACGTCGAAAAGAAGAAGAAGGAAAATTGATAACAAGTTATTATTGTTAAAATTAAATGCGTTTTTAAAAATAATGAACAAAAAACACCCCCACAAACCTCAATATAAATGGTTCAAAAATATGGTTTATGTTGTTGTATACTACACACCTTTTTTTTTCTCGAACTGAAGTATTAATATAATTTAAATGGTGGAAATGTGTATTTACAGAGATCAATAACATTAATAAAATTGACTTGATGTTATTAAACAATTTTGTCTTAGATTCCAATCCTAATATGCTAATATGCTTTGAGCCACAAAGGCAATCAAATAGAGATATTGCAATTCGATATTGACTGTTTTTTAGAGTAACTTAATTTGCTTCATTTCCTCAGGAATAATACAAGAATACAATACCACAATACTTACTTCTTGCTATATACAAGCACTTTGCCTTTCGAAATGTTTTGTAATATTGAAGTATTGGATTTATGTATCGCAATAATCTGATTTGTTTGTTTTTTCTTCAATATTTGGTAAGTTTTTGAGGGTTTCTTAATAATTGATTTTCTCTTTGCGACCTTGATCTATAAAAACGAAACTGACCCTAACCTGCTTTTTAAAAATACATATAAATTTAGATCTCTCAGGATTTTTACTATAAAGAAATAGTTCAGACACCTGTTGATTTAACCCTGTCAAAACAAAATATTTAGCTAGAATTCAAAATAATAACACGAAGAAATCCAGCGTTATTTCTGAACATCTCACTTGATCACAACAAAGATTTACAGGACAATGGCATATTTGTTCCTGCCCTCAAGTTTTTCTTTTCTCACAGATCTTTTAACAATTCTTTAGAAAAGATGGAAAGAAAATCTGACCTTTTAACACCTGTGTTTAAAATAAGTCAGTTTGATTTAGATTTGACCATAGCAAGTGTAGCTCCGAACACTTAAAACCCGGGGACCTCGCAGTTGTTCGTGGTTTTGCCAAGTCAATTTTAATTTCAATTTTATCCTCCATTGGATATCAAGGAAACAATATAGGAGGAAGTATATCAGCCACTTTTTTATTAACTGGTGAGAAAATGTCAAGTTTACATGTTTTGAAAAGTGCACTCGTCTCAATCTTGTCAATCAAATATCATTCAAATATCGACAAGGCCGTTGAGCTGAAAGATTCAACAAGCGCCCGAATCTGATTATGCGAGCAATCCAAGTCAAATCACGTAGTCTCATTTTCGGGGGAAATTGCAATGTTCTCAGAATTTATTAGAAGTAAATTACATCACTGATAGTATCTCATGTAAAATGCATATAAAACACAGTGCGAATAATGTTGTAAAAAAATAACGAGGGGACTCAACTTAGATGTGTGATTTTTTTGTAATAAAATTTGGTCTAAGGTATTTTGTGGTAAATTCATCCCAGAAATAAAATTTCCAAGCCTGCAGCATCAAAAGGAACAGGAAAAATAGGTTTTGGAGGAATTTTAAATCAGAATTTTGGTTTCAATATCTCAAAATCTATCACGAATATGTTGGTGTCAAATTAAAAAAAATTGTGGTACATGAAAAACAACTTCATAGCATATCCTAAAAGGCAGTAATTCTTTATTGCATTTTTGTTCATCTGAATAACGTCTTGTCTTTTTTTCTCAACTCTTTCTTATAATAGAATAACAGCACAAGACAAAACAAGCGAGAGAAAGCCGACATTTTGGAACAAACCGTCAAACTGGTCAAGCAACTTCGACAACATGGAATCCGAGGTGAGAAGGAATTTTCGAGACAATTTGAGATCTAGACATCTCTTGCAATAATCCTCGGCTTCACGTTGAAGTCACGTCTGATACCAGTACTAGAGATTCTTTCATGACAAAATTATGGTGTCAGGTATTTTGCTTGCTTCTGCCTATTTGCTTTATTCTCACGCCCCCTTTCTGTATTTGTCTCCCATTTGTTCCTCATAATAAAGGTATCCTTGAAGAAGAAAACCAAAAATTCAGTTTTGAAGTCATTTGAGGTAAAGAGTATTAAAGATCTTATTACTTTACTAAACGAGGCAAGTTCTAGTCTCGGAGTAATATATGCTATTAAGACTCTGCGTAAGTACAAATGTTGAAACACATACATAAAATTTAACAAAATAATCATATGCAAAATATTTACAAATCCATGACATTTATGTTCTTAAGACAATCAGACAGAGCTGACATAAAAACTACATGCAACAAACATGATGAACATTAAAAAAAGAGAATTTAAATGAAAAATTATTCACTTTTTAAAAATTGATTTTATGGCCTCTGAAATCATATCTGGGTATTTCCCAGTCATTTTAATTATAACGATTCTTTAGAATGTATAACCAAATGACAGTTTTGCTGATTTTTAATCAAAGAATCGAAAAGATAACACAAATCACAAAGTCTTTTGACCTGTTTTTGGAGAAAATGAGGGAGACACTCTTACTCAATAACATTTACTTTAAAAAGTCATCGTCCTTTTAATATGTTTTGTTATTGTATGTCTGTCTGACGAATGTGGGCGATACAATATTATCCTTTAACAAATCAACATTCATTGAGGAAAAATAAAACGCCCACATAACTCACATTATTTTTCCATATTTTTGTTTCTGAAATAATTCGATGTTTTGCGCCAAATGGGGAAAAATTGTTATTGTATATTAGCGTGATTTAGACGTGATGACTTAGCAAACAGAAACGAACGACAAATACAATGGGGGTTTAATCGAGCTTTAATTCCATTAGGTTGGGTTGTCAAAAGTCACGATGCTGGCAAATAAAACAGTGCCAATGTTCTTGAATTTGTGTTAAAGTGCCTAATAGCATCACACCTAAGGTAAATTCGAAAGACATTCCCTAAATTCCTTGCGAGAATTGACGGACAAACATTTACCTTCAGACCGCAAAATTAATGTCACAATTCCGTCAAAACAAGCTCCTGTATACAAGGTCCATACCAACACAAGTGTCTTTTCAAAATAATAAAACGAAACAGTTGACAATCCGGTGTTTCATATCACATAAAACGGGCACTTGAAGGAAAGCATGTCCTATACAAAAATAATTTGCCAGTAGCATGACAATCAAAAGGAAAGAAGTAGGCCCAAGTGTTGTCATGCACCACTCGATTAAAATCCAAGTTTTAGAAAGAATTCCTGTTTAATCAAAGTTTGTGCCTATTGTTGGGCGCTGAAGGAATCTTATGGTGGCAAAATATTCATTATTAGCATATATTTACAGTCATTTTCTTTTCAAATTCGAATTTTGCAACTGGTAGTGTTTCATTCACCCCAATTGTTGTGTAAAAAAATGAGGGTTCCAAATTTTTTCCAGAAAGTCTTTTGATCTGAACTTTTGCGCAACTTTCATAAACTCATCTTGCTGCTACAGATACATTTATTTCGAGATAACATTTGTAGAGTTTGCAAATCCGTGATAGTTGTCTCGCGTTCCTCATCCCTCATACGTTTCAAAACTGATGTGAAACTTTTGTACACTTTTGTAATACATTTTCGAGAAAAACAGCGTTACAATTTATTCCTCTTTGTTCATTTTGTAATCGTGACAGTATTTTACTAATGCGGGTAAACGGCGTTTGTGATTATGAAATTATTGACGGTCGTACATACACCAATGTGGAATTCAAACTTTTGATTTTATCAACTATGTACATATCCAAAGGAAAAGTATTGGTATACTATTTTCACGTATGACTTTGGTGTAATCATTTTCATATTCATATTCATGTTATCATTTTCACACCGGTTTTAGAGAGGGTTTTGAGGAATTAATATAAGAAGTTTATATAGAGAGAATGAAAAAACTGGCATAGTTTTAAAATGATTACTTATTCGTTTTTAATCTCTCCTCAAACGTCTTATGTGTATTATGTGTATGGAAATGAAGCCTGTGTTTAGTCATACATACATTGATACATACTTTTTTTAACACTTCCATAAGCTCAGTCTACATTTAGACACGGAGCCCGATTTAGTAGCTATAAGTCCGGATTGCTTATCGAATCCATTATCCCTTTTAAAAAGTAACTGGATCAGCGAGTATCATCATCATTTTACTGTAATCAGACATAGTAGAATTCGTTCAGCCTTGGGACAGTATTCATTGGTCAGTTTGTTTGTCGTAGCTTTGAATGACGTGAGACGAGATGACGGTCCAGTTAGGGTCCCGTAGGGATGCATGTGTCACCCCTCCCCTAATTTAGTTCCCGATTTAACCATGATAACAGATAAGCATACGATCGGAAAAAACTTTCGAAAACTCAACCGGAGGCAATTTCAAAAGCCTTGTTTATCACCTATTGAAATGCGCGAATGTAACATTTACATTTTTCGTAATCCACAGATGGAGTCTTTTGGATATATAATGAGGAATCGCATTTGCCTTTGCGTTGACTTTTCGAAAGTCTTTGCGATCGAGTATGTCCGTCATCGGAGCTGATAATGTTAAAAAAGCAGAAAGCGGCCAAGACTCATCATTTCCTCTAAAAACTATATCGCGACTCCTTTGATTGTAAATGATTTACTGGGTCAGACGGTGGGATTGATTATTTTTTTTGCGACTCGTAATTTGTCAATTTTTCACGGTCCCGCCACGATTCGTCTGGCCAACTCTGTGATTAACTGAATACTGTATACAGAGGCCGCAAACAACAATCCCCTTTTAATCCTGCTCATGGTCACATTATTGATCTCCTTGCATCGCAAAAGGACATCGAAGGTTAGACATAGAGAATAAGGCTGGAGTAGATAAACATTATGCGATCCAGAGCCGTCGCCGTTTTGCAAAAATCTATTTATATATTAAAAAAAAAAGAACAAGGGGAAAAAGAGAACAAGATGTCACAATCTTCCAAAGGTGAAGCAAATAATATCATTATTATGAAAAAGTTGGAACTCAAAATGTAGATTATGTTTTAAATCGCAGCTGTTTCAGTAAATGTAGGTCAAACTAGATATGCTTGAATATACAGATCACATGTACCAGAGTTGTTTCATCAACACGTTGTATCACTTAAAATTGTAGTCTAAAATCTAGTTAATGCTCATCTTTAAAAGTACTTTGATTTTAAAAGAAATATGTAAAGATGCTTTTAAAGTGTAAAGGTATGTGAATTATTTAACCCTTTTGCTTCTAGTTCATTTTTAAATTCATATTACCCCCTGATGATAATGGTACTTATTTATATATATATATATATATATATATCACTAACAAAGTTTAAAATCTGAATACATATGCTACGAAAATGTAACGGAGTCTCTTTTCATCTCCCCCCCCCCCTAGTAAAGTTTTTTAAAAACCGTTTTCTTTTTATTACCCCAAATAAACCAACTGTCTTACTAAAAAGGGGGGAGGGGATAATTCGATCCAGACATTGAATCTATTTAAAGCTTGTCTATCTCATTTTTATGATTTGTCAAACGTGCTCTAAATGTGCAATAAGAAATTAATAACCCATTCAAAACATACTCGGCATTCCTATTCGGAAACAAAAGCCATGTTTTAAAGATTTGGAATTGATTTCGACGATTCGAGGGCACAGATTTATTGAACAAATTTACCTCACCGTTAATTAGTCCGGCGTGTAGAGTCCAAGGGTTAGCCCCTTTTCGGGATTTGTGAGAGACGAATTTAATTGATTACTTGCTCTGTGTATCTAACACTCTAATGGAGTCTTTATGATACCCAGATTGGGGTCTTTTTGTTTGTATTTCCCATCATAGTCGATGTACATGAGAGCTAGACCTGTTCCCACGTCCTTAAAGGCTGGTCGACATCTAAAATATTACGACTTTCGGAGCTTATATTTGATAATATTTGAACGATGTCCCTCCGTTTTCATTTCTTTTAAAATATTCTTTTCATCACATTTGTTTTTCAGACTTCTGCCCCGTATTCGTGTCTTTATCCTAATGTTAAAAAAGTTTCTTTTTTGCCCTAGCCATACAATTAACATTTAAAAACCTGCAATCGATATCTTCAAATTGTCAGAGATGAAATATGACGACTTTTAGCAATATATTAAATAAATTCTTCATTTAATTGACAATGCTAAAAATCTTACACAATTTGAAGTGTAATACTCTATAACAAAGTTTAGTCAACAAAATAACATTAGTAGAGTGTCATAGTACCCTGAATTACTACCCCAGTCACACCGACAAGACCGACACCAAACCAAATCTTATTTTACATATTTTTCATTATTATACGACACCGGTTTATTAGTATCAAACTTGGAGGTACTTGTATTCAAGATTTGTACAGGGTATTAAATTTAATTATTAATAATTATTGCCAATTTTATATTGAATTAAAGTGCCGTGTAAACGTTTTACTTAAATTACACATTTGCTTAATATATGAATTTCAAAATAATTTAGAATGTAACAAATTTAATACCAATTGAATTTGACTGGATATATTTTTTAGGAATAATGCATTATACCATCACTCAATTTGGGTTTACCTTCTCTCTCTTTCTTTCATTATCTTTCTCAATGTTAATTGTTGAACAATACGTTGATGTCAGTTGATATGTGATTATTGGTCCTGTGAAGTCCTATGTACCTTATAATTATGTTTAAATGCGATTGCTCTTAAGTGTTTTTTTCCCTTCTTTTCATATCTATGTATTTAAAGAGTCAATTTATACAGTTTTATTGTACAAAGAATATATACATATTGTGAACCATTTATATGCCTGCCTTTTTTACTGTATGAAATCCAACTCATGGTTGCAATAAATGAATGATTAAATAAAAAAGACCGACTATGGATCGAATGAAATATTACATTACCCCTAAAGGCCGAGAATCGGTCGGTTTGGACTCAGTTTGCTGGTGTGACCGAGGCATAAATTTGTTAGCACCCCATGCTACCCCCAATTAAAGATAAACTCCAGTACTGGTAAAGAAAAAAAAAAAAAATTCTCACAGAATCAAACGAAACTTACACTGAATGTTCAAGATTACAAATAAATGACATGTGCCAAACTATTTTGGAAGAAAATGTATACTGGCTGAGTAATGAGCATAGAAAGACAGGGAAATCAAGGTAGTACTAGCCCCGACACCATGTGTGTTGTCCCATATATAGCTTTCTATGTGAGTGCTTGTTACTTTACCAAGACTCGGTCAAATTTATTATGATTTTGATGACTCCAGAACCTTGCAGTGCACACCAATACTTACATGCTACATGATCAACTGTTTCTGATCCTTTCCACACCTTTTCTTTCACAATGCAATTGCATTACCAGTACTAAAGTTTATCTTTAATAGATGTAGAATATTATTGTACTTTAAAGAAATAAGAACCAATGTAAAACTGACAGGATCAAATCCATTTTTTTCAGTGTGGGGCCGAGAAACCTTTCATCAAAGAACAAAATCAAACTGTTTGTCCGAAAAATGTAGATTTTATAGATTATATTCTGAAATAGAATTTTGATATATCCAAATTTGATATCATTTGAAAAGAAATTCTAATTCCCCTTTCGAACGGATCGTCTTACTTTAATATTTTTCTTTCCTAAGCATGCTAAAAGACATCTTTATGTTGCATTCCTTTAATCAAAGATAGGTAACACATATTTAGTCTGATCCCTGTGTGTATTTAATCCTTTCAAGGAAATCCCCTACAAATCGCCTGTACACGAAGCCGTCCATTTTGTTTTCATGACATGAAGTAGAATGCTCAAAAATCGAAATCAATAGGAAGAAACCCCCAAAATGATCTAAAGTTAATAGTGTCTTGACTGAAAAAGGGGAATTGGCGATTGAAAGCTAAGTCTCTGTTTTGACATGGTTTAGCTAAGCTTTGGGAATAACCTTCTATATCGTTTTCCAAATAGATTACGTCTATGTACTGTTTGGGACTTCTTAAATACTGATTATCATTCTTAAAATCTATACCCATACACCAATATCGTTTTGAGGAATATAGATGGAAAAGGTGGAAGAAAACGAAAGCGTGGGCCTCAAGGGAACACATAATTTATCATTGTGCATTTTTCATAGTCTATTCTATTCACTCTAAAGGGACACTTTGATCTTAATAATCTCCTATAATGAAGCTCTACCCTACATTAGAAGAGATTGCCTTATCATTGATTTGTGTGAATCCTCTTTTAAAAGAAGAATGGTTAATATTTAAATCAATTCAACCTTGATATGTAAGGATTCTTCTATGTAAATTCCACTTGCTATTTCTTTCGCGAGCCAATATTATCTTCCAAAATCATTCAATGGGGCAACCTGTCCATTTAAACATTTTGTATCATATTAGGAAAGATGTTCCTCCTTTTTCTCGTCTTGTTGTCTCCTTTTTTAGTATGTTTTTTAGAATACTGCCCAGACAAATATTGTTTCTTCCGTTACCATACATTAAACATGAATATCATAATTCTTAGAAATAATGCCGGGATTGCATTAAAGAATATCTCCCTCCCCCCTCAAAAAAAACACGAAACATATAAATCGTTTGCCTGCACTTTTATTGGCCAACCTATAGCTTAAATAGTTAATTTACATAATAGTCACCCGATGTAGATTCATCTCAAAATTATAATTTGAATCTCGTACTTATTCAAAAATATTATTTTCATTTACATTTTCTTCTTCTTCATATTTTGTCTTTCTAGGCAATCACCCACCAGACCCAAACACTCAAGTGCAATTTAGGTCGGGGTTCAACGAGTGCATGGCAACCGTCACCCAGTTTCTTTCGGCAAATAATGGCTCGCTGAATGGGGAAGCTAAGGCCGGACTTATGTCTCACTTAGCAAACTCCCTACAGTGCAACAAAGTGTACTCCGAACGCTTGCCCCACCCACCGCGACGACGCCCCGAAGAGGCAACCAATGGCATGAGCGCATCCGCAAAGCCAACGCCAACTTCTACCCAATCACATGCCGGCGATTCAAGCGAGGTCAGCTCTATGAACGTTGTTCATCCAATGCCAGCTGCCACTCCTGAGGCGGCTGTGACGTCATCTTCACCACATTCCACAGTATCGGTGCCAGCAGTGAGTGTACCAAACGCTATGAATGGCGCGTTGCCTAGTCTCACAGCCAGGCTGGAGTTCACCTCAAACGGGAGCAATGTACAAAATACAACTCGACTCGTGCCTATACATATACCATTCAAGGTGCAATCGCCTGGACAGATAATTCTAGTCCCATGCCAGTCGCAGATGATTAATGGTAACCAGCTAACTACGCCCATGATCCCCGTTATGAGTCCTCCCACCGCCACCCTGGCCTCCAGTCCGCTATCGTCTGCCGGGAGCTCGGGCTCTGTCGCAATATCACCAGCGCATCACTTCCAATCTCCGCAAAAGCCCTCTCCCCAGCCAATAGACACTGGAGGCCCGTCAACCTCGGGTACGATCATGTACGCATCTTACCCCGCACCGGCACCACCCAGTGCCGCCGCGGCTGCTCGAGTCGCCAACCTTATGCCCCAAGCGGCGGCGCCATATCCGATCGCTTTCGTTGCCATGGGAGACTCCTCCGAGATGCAAAATGAACAGTTCTACCAGAATCTACCAAGGTTTTTGGTAAACCCACCTAATGGCTCAGACCCAGTCTGGAGGCCGTGGTAATCTCCGACCATGTTATGATAATGAGTAATTAGAAAAGAAGAAAAAAGGTTATAACATTGGACACGCTTAAGCTCATTGTGCAATCAATCATTGTCGAACTTTGATATTTAGGATATAGAATTATCGAAATGCCAACAACTAGACAAAACTATTTCATTAATGAGTTAACATTATGAAGAGAATTGGAATGATGAGAGATACAAGATGATAAATACACATTTTACTCCGAGCAGTTACAAGTCTTTCATTACCGTTATGAACAAGACCTAAAGCTTATCTGCCGTAGTTTACAGGAGGGATTAGACCGCCCTGCAAGGTCACTGGACAGGTGGTTATCCCCTCAACTCAGCTCTCAGTTAACATAAGAAAAAGGAGGATCATGGGGGACCAATGGTCACCGATTAGGCATTGTTTGTTATATAGAGGGCGCAAGTAGCTACAAGTAGTGCAGTGGGCCTTTAAAAGGTGATTAAGTGAACAGTTCCTCTCAGTTTTGGTTCTTGTTTAAAAGATTCAAGAGGTTTATAAATTCTGCGAGTGGACGATTCGGCTTGAAAATTTGATTCAAAATTGGTAAACAGCAAAAGAGTTCATCTTCAATGGGCTTAAAACAATGTGCTGCCAATAATTCACAACGTATTCAGCAATTACCAGTGACCACCTTTGATCAAACAGTGTGATACGAAATCAAAATGTGTGTGCTGTGATATTGTGTGTCTTTTTTCTATTCACTGACTCGCTTTTATTTCATGTATTAAAAAATCGTAACAGTTTACAAAAAGAAAAGATTGTATTCTACATTTTTGAAGCTTTCACAGGTATTTAAAGTCTTCCATTTTTTTTTATTCCAAATAATTACGTTTTGAAAAGATTTAGCAGATGAAGATATATATATTATGAAATTAATTTATTGTCATGCATAACATCGGGAAAATAAATTTTGAAAAATGTATTGTTTTGTTTAGTGCTATAAATAGTGTCTTCCACTTACAAATTTCGGGAAATGAATGATCATACTTATACATCAAAGCTTTAAAATTATCATGTCTTCCATTCATTATCTTATTTTAGTTATATATTTATTCAAAATCAATTATTGATTATTCAGACTATGAATTGGGATGATATGTATTTCTCTTTTAAGGTAATACATGACATTGGTAAACAAATAAAAAGAAAATCTATTCTCACCATTATCACAAAATGCTTGTGTGGTGTATATTTTAAATGTGGGACGAAATAGTCACTCATGCGGTTGTAATAAAGGTAAATTTGAATTTCGATAAAGAGTGAATATATATGTCTACTTGACCAAAATATGGTACTACTTAGCAAGTTAGCTCTGCTTCAAATGGAATGAAATAAAACGTAATATAAGATGACACATTTGATAGATTCAAATTAAATATGCAAAGTGTGGAGCTCACATGGCGTAAAGTGGACTAACAGATAATATTGGCGGGTACTATTCGAAATAATTAAAAATTATAATAATAATTATCTCTTTGCATACAGTATGTAATAAGGTAATTATGTATGTATAATGTATTATTTTATTCCATATTTGCACTTCATATAGATGATGAGTGTATACATCGGTAGTGACAATGAAATAATTATGATAATTTCTGTGTGGCAAACTACAAAATATTCCCATTGCATTTCTATTTCCCTTTGCTGTGTGAAAAATAACACAGATAAGTGTGTCTAAAAGTGAAAAATGCTCATAGAGTTTATTAAAATTTTATTTAACGTGTGATTTGTATATATGGAATTTCTATTTCTATAAGGCTATTGGAAAAGCGAAAGCTGTTTCTCTTGAAAAGATTTTATTACTGATATTTATGAAAGCATTCCTAAGATAAGAATGATATACTATCGCATTTGAAGTGCTTTTCTGTACTATTTTGGATGTCATAAAGAAAAATATTATATAACTTTGTGAACTACTTCTATATATTTATGGACTCGAATAAATCATCTGAGCTGCTGCTTGGTGTTAATTTGCTCTAAAAATACGAGACTCAGTTTAATGTTAATCTTTTGTGCTATGTGATTCTATAATCGACTTAAAGGTAAAGACCAGTAATGGTCATGCGATTGCATTGTGAAAGAAACGTTGTGGAATCGATCAGAAAAGGTTGATCATCTAGCATCTAGCATCTGCAAGGTTCTGGAATCATCAAAATGATAAGAAATTTGGCCCATTCTTCGTAAAGTTACAAGCACTATACACAGAAAGATGTATATGGGACTACCCTATCTCTCTCACCAGACCATGAGAGAAATAAATTTACCAAATATATGAATTAGTAGGCGGTTTCCCGGCAAATTTTTTATCATCATGTATTAGTCAAAACATATTCTTTCACATGATTGGTAATGAGAGCTTCCATTTCATTTTTTGAAATTGGGGCGTTGCCAATACTGGTCTTTACCTTTAAAATAGAATGATTCAGAGAAAAAGAGAGAGAGAGAGAGAGCGAGGAGGGGGGGGGGGGGGCTGGAAGAAAGGGCTATAAATAATCGAGTGAGATCTGGAATACCTCGGTCAAATTTTTAATTTGCTCTCACAAATCGATTCAATTGAACATGTAGAAAACAGCTATTAACCACTGATTAGAGTTAAAAGGGCACACATTCTATTTAATATTACACCTCCCGGCTCCTTTTTTTCTTTCTATTTCCTTTTCTCTTTCTCCCATGCTTGATTACCTATTGGCAATAACCTATCTCTATATCTTCCATCTTTCTCTCGTTTTTAAAAAAGCAATTTCTCTTTCTCTGAAGTCCTATCTTTAATTTTTAGTCTATCTCTCTTTCTCTTTCTCTCTCTCTATCAGATTTCTTTTCGTCTCTCTTCATCTTTCAAGATGTTTCTTTTACCCTTTTCCCTCTCTACCTGACTCTCCTCTCTCTCTCTCTCTCTCTCTCTCTCTCACTCTCTCCTTGTTTTTGGATTCCTTCACCCTTGTAAACAGCCCAACCCACCCGATGGATGCTCAGGTGAGCTCTACACCTGGTACCCACCAGTCCACTTGTCATGCCCTCCCGTTGCTCGTGGGAAAAGCAAAGTTGATGTCTATAACAAATACCAATACTTGCTTTACTCTCCCAAACAAATATCATATTCGGTCAAACAAAAGGGGCGAAAATGAAACAGGCTATCAGGAAAGAGAAAAAGAAATACCAAATCCACAATAATAGGTACAAAGGTAAACAATAGGGTCATTTTTCAGAACTAACTTTAAACACCGTTCCGTTTAACAACCTCCCCTCGTGTAGTTTTTAGCATCAAAAGGAGTACAAAAAGGCGCGTTTTTGTCCTGAAATGGCAAACAGAAAGACTTTGCTGACCCGAACTAATGGTGTTGGTACCCCCTTGCCCCCATGGGGTGTGCAAAAATGTCCAGCTCTGTGAACTTGACTCGATTTGCTCTTTCAAAACCATCAAGTTGATTCTCTGGTGTGTTTACGGTAGGAGGGATTATCCACGGGTTTTATGTCCGCGTCGGCGAGCAAGGTGTATAGGGGACAAAAAGTCACCCCTGTAAAGCTTTGATGGGGCGCTGAGAGGTTAAGGCGTGTCTCTCCGTAGGGGTGTGTTCAGTTGCCTGCTAGGCAATGACCTATTTCTTTCCACCATTTCTCATCTGAAAATGGCGTCGTGCTGGGCGTTTGTTTCACTGACAAATTACTCTTCTTTGAGCTGACCTATAAAATGCAGAATGGTGTTTATTCCAGCTGTTTCATTTTAGTTGTGGCTTGCTTACGCATAACAACACGACAAATTTTAGTACGAACCATACGTATCAACTTAAACTATGTAAAACGCTGTTGAAACAAGCAAGATAACTTTCATTTATTTGCACCATCAAAAGATATATCATAAAATATGCATGTATACATAATAAATAAGTAGTAGGCATGAACTAATGAATTATACAGATTAGCTAGGGTAAAATTTTAAGAGATTCCCAAATTAGACTTATTGTTTTTGATGAACTATTGCTTGCTTTTCTTATTGAATGCTGCTCCATTTGATCAACTGTTTTTATTCTTATTTGAAAAAAAGAAGGTGAATATTACGAGTAGCATCTGAAAAGTATATGAGACAGAAATACTCTATCTTCAGAACGACCGTAATAGCCTTTTAGTCTTTTTTTGGTAAAGATATCAATTGCTCATGAAGCCTTTGCATTCATTTTCTTCCTCCTCTGTGATCCGCTATCTCCATTATAACGATTATGCTAGCAAATAATAAGATTGCTTATGATTAACAAGTTTTTGATTTTGAAAAAGCGACTATCAAATTACCTTTCGCTTGCATAGAAATGTCAGTATCGTTATTTAAAACTTTGACTTTATTTTTTCTTCTTCTCAAAACACCTGCTACTTCAAAACATAAAACACCTCTGTCATTCAACTCAACTTCAACCCCCCCCCCCCCCCCCCCACTCTGCTTGCCGACACCAAATAAGAAAAAAATATTCCATTGAAAGCCTTATCTCTACAAAACACGATAAAATATGTGTATTAGTCAAGTATAAACTTGTTCAAGATAATCTCTTCGACAAACTCCAAGAGTATCTTTTTTCTTTCTTGTTTTTTTCCTGACTTTGCTTGGGATTGTGTTTGGACTGGCTGCGTGTGTGAGCGTGGGAAAACAAACGTTGCAATAAGGGCTACCTTTGCAATGCGATGTTATTAGTCTAGCTAGTCTTTGGCAAACACCAACTCGAGTCAACAACTTTGGGAGAGGGAGGGTTCGTATGGGACGTGACAGGGCATATATTATACCCTGGCATCATCCAAGTCTTATGGGGATATTCAGTGTATAGAAGAAAAAAAAGAATAATAGCACGGAGAGAGAGAGAGAGAGAGAAAGAGAGAGAGAGGGAGAGAGAGAGAGAGAGAGGGGAGAAAGAGAGAGAGAAAGAAAGAGAGAGATAACGAAAGAAAGAGAGAAAGATAAAGAGTGAGAAGAAAGCAGAGGAAGAAGAAGAAAGAGAGAGAGAGAGAGAGAAGCGGAGAGA